TTAAAAATATGAAAAATAATCAAAATTATCAAAATTATGGAGAAATTACAAATCAGATAATTCACTTAAATTTGCAAAGTGATTTTTCGCAACGGAGCTTCCACGTTAAAAGTTGTAGTGATTAATATCGTTTATACCCTTAATGGATAAAATATATAAATCAGCCAAAAATAAAAAAAAACGAGTTTATATTTATTTGATTAGATAAATGATTTAAATTAATAATAATGATAAGAATTATCCATAATTTAAATATATATTTAAAAATAAAATAAAAAGATAATTCCTATATATATTGTGTTGTTATCAGAAAATATATTTAATTAAAATATAATCAATCATAAATTAGAAACAAATTTCACTGATTTGATGACTATTATTATCTAAAAATAGTTGATATTAATAAACCATAAACTAAAACTGAATTAATATATAAATAACAATAAATTAATTATATTTAAAAAGGTGAATTTGCTGATTTATTATATTCTCCATGATTTTATGTAATTATAATTCTTTTATCATGTTTTTATGATTTTGATTAATGATTAAATAAAATTATTCTTATATAATTATGAACCGTATATTAATTAGATTTACTACCCTTAATGACAAGCAAACATAAACTTAATGACTAATTGGATTTATTACTATATAATGACTAATTAGATCTATTACTATATAATAATTAGAAACAAATCTTATTTGTCATGTTTCTTATAATTTGATGATTATCATTATCTAGACTAATGATTATAATAAATTGAATTATTAATTATATAGTAATAAATCTAATTAGTCATTAAGTTTATGTTTGATTCGCCATTAAGGATAGTAAATCTAATTGTCATGTTCTTATGATTTTTACTACCTTTAATAACAAAGCAAACATAAACTTAATGACTAACTAGATTTATTACTATATAATGACTAATAGTTATTACCATTTGACCAAAAAAGATTTATTACTATATAATAATTAAAAAATTCATTATATAATTAAACATAAGTAAAAAACGAATTTCAATGATTTTAGATTTATCTTTATCTAAAACTATTTTATATTGGGTTATAAAATCTTTATTAACCTTGAAATATAATTAGATTTTTAGTAATGTATCATTAATTATAAATTAAAAACGAATTTCATTTATTTGATAATCATCCTTATTTAATTTTTTTATATTATGTATTTATCAACATTAAAAATAATTATATTTAAAATAATTATATTTGTTAATATATAATTAATTATAATTAAAAACGAATTTCATGAATTTGATAATTATTATTATCTAATTTTTTATAATTCTGTTATAAGTCTGTATTAACCTTGAAAAATAATTATATTTGTTAATATACATTTAGTTATGAAAAAATAATTCGCAAAGAATTTATGTATAGATAGTTTACATTACTAAAGATAATTTTATTATACTTTTTTGTTATGTCTAAAAATGATATTAATTTATTACTAAATATTTTAAATTTATGAATATTTTCACATTTAATTTGTGTATGACAATTATTTATATGATAATGGAAAAATTTATATATAGAAAGAACTTGTTTAGATTATTATTAAATATTTTGAGTGTATGAATAATAATTTATTATAATTTACTTAAACTGATTATATTTGAATATAGATATTAGGAAATTATTAAGTCCGCAAGTGCGGGCAAAACACCTAGTTTAGAACAAATATCAAAGACTACAACACTAATCGCAAAATCTTACAACTTCTACTTCCTACCCCCACATACAAGACTCTTCTTTGCTACCTTTAAACACACAATGGTGAATAGGTTTATTGTACCGTTAAGTGTCGGCAAAGAAGATAAGGTGACATGAGTACTTCACAGCTGTCCTCATCAGTAAGATCACGACTAAAAAAATTAAATTCCTCATCGAATCCAACGGTTACCGTACAGCCTAGGTCTTCTTTCACCTTTATAAACAAGTCTCGTGGACCCATCACACCACTAAAGCCCCACTTTTTCTGCTGTCACAGCCTCCCAGCTGTCCGATATTCCTATTTTATTTTATTTATTTTCCACCAGATTATCAATGATTTTTATACATTACCGTAGATCCTCTAACCAACATTTTTTGTCAGGAGATTATTGGTTAAGACCAAATATAAATAAGAAAAAAAGATTTATTCGCTGTCCTTTTTTTCTTTACTTGTCTTAAGAGCAAAGAATATTAAGATTTTCTTCTATTATATTCCTAGTAATAAATATATTTTCCCCAAAATAAATGAAAAAAAGAGAATAATATTACAATAACCGAGTGTACAAATAAATTAATCCATTTAAAAATTCACCGTTATTGTACAAGCTTGCCCTTAGTATTATACCCGTAATAAGAAAGATACCACCTAACGAACTTCTTCAACCCGGTTTCCAAATCGGTTGTCGGTTTATACCCGAATTCTCTCCGGGCGGAGCTAATATTAGCATGCGTGAACGGAACGTCGCCGTTTCCAGGCATCTCCACGAAGTTCCTCTTCGCCTTCACCTTGAGATGCTTCTCCAATATATCCACAAGAATCGGAACCGTAACCGGTGACGTGTTCCCCAAGTTAAATATCCGGTACGGTGCGGCTCCACGTTTTTTCCCACCCGACCCGGTACTTTTACCCGAAGAATCTAAAGATCCTAAACATCCTTTGACTATATCGTCGATAAAAGTAAAATCCCTAGCCAAATCGACCCGGTTTTTACCGCGGTAAATAGTAATCGGTTTACCTTGGAGAATATTCCTTGTGAAGGAGAAGTAAGCCATGTCCGGTCTACCCCAAGGACCGTAAACCGTGAAGAATCTCAAACCGGTAATGGCAAGACCGTAAATATGATTATAAGTATGTGTAATTTCCTCACCAGCTTTCTTCGTTGCCGCGTAAAGACTCGCGGGTTGATCTGTTCTGTCGGATTCCGAGAAAGGAACCTTCTCGTTGAGACCGTACACAGAGCTAGACGAAGCCCAGACGATCGCGGGCTGCGGATTCGCAGCCTTGCACGTCTCCAAAAGGTTGACTAACCCCGCGATGTTGCTGTGAACATACGACTGAGGATTCTCCAAAGCGTATCTAACACCGGCCTGCGCCGCGAGGTGCATCACGTGAGTGAAGGCGACCACGTCGAATAGCTTCGACAAGAGTTTCCCGTCGTTGAGGTCTCCCTCAACGACAAAGATTCCGCGCGAGGATAGTAAAGACATCCTCGCGCGTTTTAAGGAAGGGTCGTAGTAGTTGTTAAAGTTGTCTAGGCCCACCACGCCGTCGCCGCGTTTTCGCAACGCAAGTGACACGTGGCTGCCTACGAAACCGGTGGCGCCGGTGACGAGGACGGAGATACCTCCCGAGCGGTGGATCTGCGCAGAGGTTCGGACTTGTTTCTCCCATTGGATGCCGCCCCATGAGGCGGTGAGGTAGCGGCTGCCGGAGTCGACGAAGCTTTGGAAGCTTAGGTAGGAAGCGGTGAGGGCGATGAGGAAGAGAGCCCATAGGAACATGGTGCTTGTTGATGCGAAACATCGGTTTAGTTGTCGGTTTGACCGGTCTATCTTGAATTTACCGGGCGTTGAGGGAAATAGTTCATCTTCTATGGAAGGCATGATTTTAAATCTTTCTTACAAAATTCTACTTTTTTTTTTTTTTTGTTTCCTAAATATTCTCCAGGAAATTTATTGAAATGAAAAAAAAAAATGGTGAATTAGGAAGAAAGATTTGCAGATTTGTTTTTGGTTATTTTTTTTTTCCAAAAGCATCTGCTAAGGAGAAGAGGAAGACGCGGAGAAGTATATATACAGAAGACGAAGGGGACAAGGAGACGCGTTAAATCTGAGTTTGACAGATTGGCTTTTGTCTTAACTCCTAATTATTTGTTTACGGGTAAAAGAAACAAAAAACTAAAAATCCTTTATAGTTTAATTTTTTTTTATTTATTTTGGACAAACCATTTTTATTTTTATTAAAGTCATTTATTCAACATCTAAATAGATAACTTAATTTATGTTCGTTAAAGAAAATATAACTTAATTTATAACAACTAAATTTAAAACTATAATTAGGCTATTTAGTTTACGACATTTAAATTTAAGATCTACAATTACGCTTTGTAATTTATAACACATTCCTACACTTTGTGTTATATAAAATTTGCAAATTTGGCCAATAACTCATCAGTTTTACTAATTCAACAATTAGCGCATGTTGTATCTAATGCCAATTCAACATTATTCAAAGATAATGAAAACAAATCGTGCGACCGACTTACAACTAATGTTGTCTAAACTTCAAAAATATCAAATGCTTTGGTCAACGTGTGTGGTTTGTTTTTTGATCATCTGATACATCATTGCGAGGCGTGGTATGTGCATAGAAGTATATATTATCTTTAATCTTCATGCGCAGATTAACAAGAAAAAACCTTTATTAGTCATTGATAGATACCATTCAATAAATATGTATCAAATTCTTATACGATTAAATGAATGCTCCTAAAGTTGTACATTTTGTGATATGTAAATAGTGAATGGCATTGAGATCAATGTTGCTTCGAATTCTAGATAGCCAAAGAACATAATAAAATTTATACTAATATATGTAATGTAATTACTCGATTAGCAAAGCAATCTAGTACTACTAGTTAGTGCTGTTTATATGATTTTGTCGATTGGTCATGGCCCGCACTGAGTCGAATTTCAGCAGAAAGATGTTTCAATGCATTTATCAAAGTTATATTATAAAGATTTTTTTTATGTTATTTTACATCTAATTTTTTTTTTTTTTTAATAATTTGGGTGAGGAAATAATTGTACTTTCTCAAACAGGATAATGTAGAGAGTGAGGACATACTGATCAGACCACAGCATTCACTATTGGCTGTTTTTGGAAAGCGATAAAAGAATGACATAATAAAAAACTGCGTGCCCTTCTCTAACATTACCGCTTCCCCAAGTCACGGTTTCACCATAAAAGAGAATGGTATGGGCCACCTTCTTACCGGAAGTATCGGGAGAGACAACTGTTTCGAGACCCTGGAACAACCGGTGATATCCGGTGAATTTGGACGGTGCTCTGGTCGTGATTTTTTTTAACTATTTTATTTTGAGTATATTCCTTCTTTACTTCCATGTTCCTTCCTTTTTAAAAAATTAATTTACTATCAAACGATATAAAAGATTATTTATACAATCTCCAAGACAGATTCATACAGTATATCTTGTAATAGAAAATGGTAATATTCGGTCATTATATTATGTTTTACGGATTTTATTAAATTTGGACGGTGTGATCATATTTGGCATATTGCTTCTTTATTTGATCTTTCGAACATCTTCTAATAAAGGATTATTTACTTCAAATACATAAACCAAATCGAACTATCTCGGGAGATAGGTTCATACTCTTTTGGTAAGAAAAGAAAGGACACGTTTACAAATGCCTTAATTAGTTCATAGTTATGGTTTTGGTTACTACGTATTTATGTTTTATTTGTTTACGTGAAATGTCGTCTCTGGCTAGTTCATTGTTTTTAGCTTCATTTGGGAAGATTCTTTGTTTCGAGACTAAGTTTGTATATGAGCAATTTGCGAGATCCCGCTTCAATTAGAAATTATATACTTTATCTAAACAATGGAGTATGGACCAAGTTTATAGTACTTGATCGTTAAACAGTAGGACTGGAAAAAAGATCTGTACCCGTAAAACCGAATTGAATCCGATTCAAAAAGTAGTATCAAATTCAAGCGAATTTTTTTAATTGAGTTTAAAATTTTAGTATCTAAAGAATCAAAATTAAAAAAAAATATCTGAATTAAATTTTATGTAATTGAATATATGAGTTATTTTGGATTTAATATCTAAAATTATCCAAATTAATTCTACAAAATACTCTGAAGTTGTCCAAAATATTTTAAAATATATATAAATAATAAAAAGAAATATCTAAAGTAACTAAACAAGATTCAAAACACCAAAAATTCTTAAAATATCTATTCATTATCTATCAAAAAATTTAAGCTAAACTAGTTGTAATGTTAAATTTAAATATTTTGGTATATATTACTCAAATTTATATTTGATATATTAATTTATTTTTAGATTTGAGAAGTTTAAAGTATATATGAAAGTTTAAAAATAATTTAAACGGATTATTCGAATCCGAACCGAAATCGCAAAGATATGAACCGAACCTAAATCAAAATTTATAAATATTCGAATGAGATTGATATATTAAATCCTGAAAATGTGAAATTCAAATACTTTTAATGGGTATCCGAACGTAAACACTTATTAAACAGCACTAGTTAGCCATTGTTGGAGACTTGGAGTCATTGTCTTTACGCTAAATAAGAAACTAAATATGATAACAATTATAATTAAAAAACATGCTTATATCGGATGCAGTTCTCTTACGTAAATAAGAAACTAAATATGATAACAATTATAATTAAAAACACTAGGTTCCTTTAACACTTTTAGCATTGGGTTAAGTTTGGCGGCAAGGATGTACCCAGAGACGCCAAAATTACACCAGGTTTATTATGACGGTGTCGATTATATTGATAAATATAGTGATATACAAGAATAAAATAAAATTTAAATATTGTTTCATATTAATATCAAAATGTTGATGATTATGTTCGATTTGATTCATCTAATCTTGAACAGACTTCTTTTCCTTGAGCATTACAAGAACACGTCAGCTTTGTTAGTAAACGTGTCTAATACGAACACAATTATGAAAAACAAAGCTCACATTATATACTATCATTAGGTGCACCAACTCGATTAAAATGTATTCACAAAAATTCGAAACTCTTTTCTAAGTAAAGGAATACTGTTTTTACATTTAGTAACAGAGTTCAGTACTATATAATTTTTAAGAATATTAATTGGGATATCAAACATTTATTAATAGTTGACACTAGGTTTCAGTATGCAGATCAAAAGTAAGAAACTTTAACTTGAGATTTCTTAAAATAATTCGATGCGCATAGGTCACGTCTAGAGATAAATCTTTGGTGACGACGCCAAATGACCGCATGTCGACTAGAAGCAATATAAAAACTTCCAGAGAATATTTTTTTTGCTTTTTGTTTGTTTGAGTTTTGATGTTTGAAAATAAAAGGAAAACAAATTCCAATGATAGTGTTAATTGTATGAAAACTATTTTACTTAAGGTGTATTATGTCAGTTATATTATATAACTTATATATGTACATCCTTTATCCCCTTACTGTTCTTTTCTTCAAGTGAAGGCTACTAACTATAACTTGTTATCACATGGTTTGATTTATTAAAATCTTTCGAAACTTTTCTTCGAGAAAGAAGATTGCAATTTACGATTGCACATGCTACGGTTCAAACCTATTATACGATAGTTGAGTTAAGACTTGTAGGGGAAATAAACACACTTCAAGTCTCAAACAAAGCATAACTTATGACGACAATTTATTCATCCAACTTAGTACACACGATATTAATTACGACAAAACCAACAACATATAACATACTATTCACACTTAAGTAGAAAATCAATCGTAATTTATAATTTAGTTACCAGATCCTGATCCAGCTCTAGATCCAGCAAACGAACCAGCAGATGAACCGGCACCTGAACCACCCGAACCACGAGAACTCGAACTTGATATTGGAGATAGAATCATATATTAAGTAGGATTTAGTTTAAGATAAATCCTACATAGTTTACACATAGCTTTATTCTTGTTATTTCCTATTTATCTTTGGATTTGATGTTAATCTCTTAGAGCAGTATAAATACTCTCTATACGTGATCAATAAAACATAAGCTTTCTTTAATCCCAAACTTAGATTTGTCATGGTATCAGAGCCAAAACAAACCTAAAATCAGATTTCTAAAACTCTTGCGAACAACTGCAGGTTTTTTCTTTACATCATTCTGATCTTGTGTTCTACAATTCAAAACAGAAGATATTCAATCAACAATGGCGATCACTACAGAAGCTAGCGACGTCAAATATAAAAAGATCTCTCCATATGACCTATCATCTAATGACAATCCTGGAGCGGTTATCTCACAACCACTCCTCAATGGATCGAATTATGATGAGTGGGCAATCAACTTCCGTATGGCAATTAGCTCACGGAAGAAGTTCGGATTCCTCGACGGCAGTCTTCCTAAACCGGCAGCCGATTCATCATACCTTGAAGACTGGATTGCAAACAATCATCTTCTTGTAGGATGGATAAAACAAACAATTGAACCAAAAATCAGATCTTCTCTTTCAACTCGGGAGATCGCAAAAGATTTATGGGATATAATCAAGAAGCGTTATTCTGTTAAAAGCGGAGCAAAACTTCAACAACTGCGTATTGCACTCGCCAACTGCAAACAAGATGGAGATAGCATAGATGAATACTTTGGCCGTCTCACCAAACTTTGGGATGGGATTGCTGAATGTATGAACTCCAAACAATGTAGCTGTGGTAAGTGTGAATGCGATCTAAACTCAGCAAAAGAAAAAGAGGCAGAAACCTTAAAGATTCATGATTTTCTAGCTGGTCTTGATGATTCCATACATGGCGTCATACGATCTCAAATATGTGCAATCTCTCCACTCCCTGATCTTGATACCGTCTATCAAACAATCTCCCAAAACGAGATTATTAGGTCGACAATCAAAACAGATGCAGCGGTGATGAGCTTTGCATCTCAAACTCGGGCAACTAACAACTCACGGCCAAATACAACATCCACACGGGATATTACTCGTCCTATTAATAAGGATCCGACTCGTCAATGTACCGTGTGTGGTCGTACAGGTCATGAAGCTTCATGATGTTTTACAATTATTGGTTATCCAGATTGGTGGGAAGACAACAGATCCAAGAATAAAAACAACAACCGCAAAATAACAAACAACAACGCAGCTAATCAAGATCGTACTGCTATGCCTAAAGCCAATACAGTCACTATCAACAAAACAACCACACCAAATATTCAAGCAAATATAACTATCACAGATGAAGATCGACGAGGTCTTAGCGGTATTACAGATGAGCAATGGAATATCGTTCGGAAATTGATCAACAAAGGAACAACAACAGAATCCTTGAAGGGTAAGAAAGATGATTGTCTCTGGATCTTGGATACAGGGGCTACTCATCACATGTCGGGGCGTCTCGAGTTAATGGAGAATACTCGTGACATTACACCTATTCCAGTTCTTTTACCTGCTGGTTCTGAGGCCTTTGCTTCTAAGCAAGGGACGGTTAAACTAACACCGAAATTACACATCCATAATGTGTATTATGTGAACGGCTTTCACACCAACCTCATCTCGTTTGGCCAGCTTGTTACTGATAACTATCTTGTTGGCCAAGTCACTGATAAACTTATGATTTTACAGGACCGTATCTCGAGGATGCTGATTGGAGCGGGTGAAAGAGAGGGAGAGGGATTGTATCGGTTTCGAGAGATAGAGTCATTCGTGTCCAGTCATACTGCTGTACGTGAAGAGTCAGTTTTGTGGCACCGACGCTTAGGACATCCATCATCTCGTGTTACCAGCATAAGCTTTCTTTAATCCCAAACTTAGATTTGTCACTTGATGACGAACTAGAGCTAGATGATGATCCGGAACCTGAACCTGCACCTGCACCAGAACCAGAGCCTGACCCGCCGCCAAGACCAATCCCCAATCCAACGCCTAGACCGACCCCTATCCCACCTAGGTCAAGCCCCAAGTCTTTTCTTGCCACTCGGCTCTCGGTTAACATAACCAAACTTGAAAATACTAATAAACCAAGAAGAACTAGACCTTGGATCCTAGCCATTTTGGAATCTTCGTGTGTAAAGACCTTTTTTTGTAAGTTGTGTTAGGAGCCAATCAAAGTGTTTTGAGTCTGCGGTATAATTAGTTAGAAGAGAGAATAACATGTTCGGGTATTTATATAAGCTTTGGGAGTAAGTCAGCCATTACGTGTTAATCACCAAAATCTCTCCAAATTCAATTTTACTAATTTTTTTTTTTTTTATCATTTCTCTAAATTCATAGTCTACTCATACTTATATTTAAAGAACCACGGATAACAATTAAACTCATTCCTCGTCTAGTTAAGTAAAAATTTTGAATGGCAATATATGCAAAATGATGAGTTAGAAATTACGTAAGAAACAATCGTAACTATTGTAATTCAATTCGTAAAGGTTTTTCACCGGTGAGGTAAAAACGTTTGAGGAAAAAAATGTGTGGTTTCATTAGAAATCACACTACGTCATTATATATATTCACAGTTTCAATCATTAACTAAGCCGTTTATATTATGATTGTCCTTAATGCATAACAAGATTAGCTCACCATATTTTAGTTCTAACAAAAATTGAAGGATAATGGAAATAGTTAGTGCACATTTTTTAAGTACGGATGCAGGTGATTTGTGCATTATCTTTTTGTTGCTGCCGACCCACCAGAGGCGACGGACCACTAAGTTGAGTGGAAGAGTAGTGGTGGTTTATACACGCAGAAACAAATCACCCATATGATCATATCTAGTATTTCTATAGTCCCCACCACTATGAATTAGTCAACCTATTACACGTGCTTAAATTGTTCGAGAGACATCGTTCACATTAGTTATGTTATTATTACTATGAATGACCCATAATGTTCACCTCTCATATAGAATACAAAATTTTTTGACTTCAATTTTTTATGATCCAGCTATCACCTTACACAAGCATTCTTAATTAGACCAATCCTTGTTTGATTAGTTTGAACCTAAACATTTTCTGTTTGGATTTTGAAATATTAAGAAATAAGAGTATTTCGATCACTTAGATTATTCAACCATTTTTAATATATAAAAGTTATAGTTACGATAACAATCCTTTATATGAAGTTTTATGTGTTGATTCTTGGATTTAATTAGTTGAATTATAAAGGTAAAATCATAACTTTTTCAGTTAGAAATTCAACCTTTTTCAGTTAGCAATTCAACCATGCATGTGTAAGTATAGTTTAATTAAATTACGACAACAATCCCTTAAAATGTTATATTCTTAAATTTTTGTATAATCTTTTGATCTAATTAAAATGTTATATTCTTAAAAAAATTGTATGACACCAGATGTTAAAATCTTTGGATCTAAGTTATTATTCTAAGGGTAATATTTTACAAAATATAACTTCAATGATGTAGAGTCCATTTAAAAAGAATGCAAGCTTTCCAATTCATAGTATTTGCTATTTATGTGCTATCAGGGCCGGCTCTGAAATTTTGGGGGCCTGAAACAAAATAGAAAACGGGGGCCAGTATACAACATCATAAAAATAACAGAAACAAACTTGTAAAAATACTTTCAAATATAAAGTACTAATAAAACACAAGTTTCCTCAAAGAAAAAAAAACAATTGTCTACATCTTTTGAAACAAATTTAAAGTGGGCTGTATATGATTATTAAAATTTTATATATATAATATATAATTGAATTTTTATTTATTGGGGGCCTGTTGCAAATGTTTCATAAGGCAGTGCTCAGGGCCGGCCCTGTGTGCTATATATATGTATATATATATATATGTTATTGATAATTTATTTTTTTGGTTAAAGGTTATTAATTTGATGATACAAGCGAAAACTGAGAAGACAAAAAAAAAAAAGAACAAACTTGACGTACCGGGAAATAAAAACACGACAAACGCTTTTATTTTCTCAACTATCATAATTCTTTGTTTATATCAAAAGTATCATAATTCATAACTGAAAAATTACAACTTATAGTACAAAAGTAAAACATCAACAACACCAAGAATCCATTTCGAATATGGAAGAGTACATAATTAACCAAACACGTAGAAGCCTTTTCCCATCTTCTAATTTATTCACCCACTTTAGAAATTTAAGTTTGTAGCAATTTATTTTATTTCATATTAATAATATTCACGTAAAAAACATAGCACCTAGAAGATATTGCATGCATGCATGCGATATTCTTCATTCAGTCGCCGCCGCCACCGTAACCTCCTCCGTAACCACCTCCTTCACCGTATCCTCCTCCATTACCTCCTCCACCTCCTCCACCGCGACCACCTCCTCCTCCACCTCCTCCACCGCGACCCCTGTAAGAATTCATACCGGTTTATAACGATTTATAAGACAACCTATGAATTTTTATTAGCCTAGAATCTCATGCCAATACTGAAATAAATATAGATCTTAGGGTTTCGGATATACCTGGTTATTTTGCAGCGGAAAGATAAACAACCAAGTCGAGATTTCAAGCACTCCAAACGTCGTGCCTCTACTGGTATCCACACG